AGCATGTTGGCCTGAAACTTCCTGAAGTATTACTGTTTTCTGCCTTTTTCCTGGAATTTTGTATGTTTCTGGATTTTATACGTTGTATGATAGTTCCTGACAAATAATCATATAGTTGTAGCTATTTGATTACTGTTTCTGCTTTAAATCCAAATTAGTTGCAAGTTTGTCGTCTCTGGGGTGGTTTGCATCTTCATTTTTGAGAGCTTTTCCTATGCTGTGACAAACAGCTGAATGATAATGTGTATGTGAGGATCATCAAACGTGTTTGAAAGGCCTCCTTAGTCTTCAGCAGGCAATGCTGTGTTCCATTAAAAAAAAAAAAAAATCCCTTTTACATGGAACTTACGCAAAAAATAAATTATTTACAGAGAAAGCATGTTTGAAGACCTCTTTATTGTAACTTGGATCAATAAGGAAAGTACTTTCTAGCATCACTTCTGCTAGAGGAGAGGAACCTTCGGAAAGCATGATCTGATGATAGCAGTCCTTTGATACTCGTTAAGTGTGGGAACTCGTACTCACTGTGAAACTTGTGGGATACATCATATTTTTATCAGTTTATTTTCTTTTATGTTTTCATTTTCTCAGTTCTAGAATGAAACTTTGTCCATTTTTGCTGATGGGTTTGTCTCCTGCATTTGTTAAACCTGCTCTTTCTTCAGTGTTTTTATCAAAACCATTTCAAATAGTACTGAATTAATCAGATGTCTAATTCACACAGAGGCAGGTCTTGAAACCATGAGTTATTTTTACCTGATGGAGATGTGCTGCAATTGGTATTTTGCTGGAGCAGGGTGTTTGTGTTTGAGGCTTCTCAGTGATCATAAATTTAGAAATTTAGGTTTAGTTGCTTTTTGACTCTGGATATAAGCAAATATCAGAATCATAGAATAGTTTGGGTTGGAAGGGACCTCTAAAGGTCATCTAGTCCAACCCCCCTGCAATGAGCTGGGACATCTTCAACTAGAGCAGGTTGCTCAGAGCCCTGTCCAACTTGACCTTGAATGTTTCCAGGGATGGGGCATCCACCACCTCTCTGGGCAACCTCTTCCAGTGTT